GTGTTGACATGCAGAAGAGTGGTGGAGAGAAAGGAGAAGAAGCTTACTTTAATGAGTGCTTTCATACCATTAAGTGCATTCTTAGAGTTGATTTAACTGATTAAATGGATCTCTGATTAGCTGTTATACTTGAGATTTTTGGAAGTAATTGTGGGTTGTTCTTTGGAAAAAGCCTGGGTGTTGGTCAGGAAGAAATATTAGGAATTATGAATACAGAGAAATAGAGTACTAATCATTGTCTCTTGAAAGCGTATTTAAAACTAGAAAATATACAGAAACACACCAAATGTTCTAGGTTAGAAGGGATCTGGAGGGATCATCAAGATTTGCCCCTAAGTAAATGTCCCATACTGTGACTGAACCTACAACCTTGCTGTTGCTAGAGCCATGCTCTAACCAAGTGAGCTAAGATACTTGAACCAAGCTTGCCAGTGCTTTTATATACTTATTTTTGTGTAAGATAAGCTAGTAGGACTCCTTAGTGTTAAAAGACTTGCCCTGTGGCTGTAGTTCTTCAGAAGCTAAAGGCACCTGCAATTTAGGCCTTCAGCATGTCTTCTTCCTTGTGCTGAGCAATTTAATTGTTGGGTTAATTTTTTCTGGAATAATATGTTGCAATTAGCTAAGCAAAGGTTGAATGAACACTGGGCTGGAAGCAAGGAAGGCCAAGAAGGTGGAGGGAGGGATGGAAAAGCACTGTGATGGCCAAATGGGTTTTGAGTGTTAGGAGGGAGGTAGGTAGCAAGGGTGTGGTAGGCCTTTTTGAAATAATGAGTACTATCAAGCAGGCAACTATAAGAAAACAGGTACTTATGTTTCTGCTGTTGATTTGTATTGGTTTGCAGTCTCCTAACACTGAAATTTCTTTCCAGCTGGAAGTTAGCAAAATTACAATGATGTTTTTGGTTTTGATTTTCTTACTTAGTTCATACTTAGTTTTCTGTACCCAAAAAGTGTCAGCAGCGCGTTAACATTGATATAAATGCCAAAGAACAAGACAGCAATGCCTTGTTGCCCAAATTATTGTTTTTATTCTTTAGAAATGGGTGCAATAGTTGATTGTTCATTTGAATAGATGTTCTTTACGCTTTAGTAGAAATGTCTTAAGAAGTGCTTCTTCAATTCTGATAATCTGTTGTTTGCTACTCTATTTTTAGGGTTTGTGAGGTGTTTGAGAAGACTTTAGGCAGAGAATAAGCATACCAACTGAATATACAGTTTTCAGAATACAGTAACAGTGTAACTGCTTAAAGATTAAAAAATGTGGCTTGCTGTCTGTCTTTGTTCTTTTACTTTCAGATCTGACCTTGAGCGGGGATTTTAGGCAGCTGTGGGGTTTTAGGTGATAGTGACGATTTTACAGGTTGATCAACTAATTTTTGAAGATGATTCATCCAAATTGCTTTGGAAAATGGCCATTTGCTCTGTAGTTACTACCAGTCTTATTTGTAGGATGCTGAGGGAACATAACTAACTTCTCAGACTTTGTGGCCTCTTGTGTTTTTAATTCCGTCCACCCCCTGCCCTGCACCTAAAGGTTTATAAAGATTATTGGAATGAGAATAATTGTTTCACCGCTTCTTGTATGATTGTGGATACTTGAAGTGAAACTATCTGGTCTTGAAACTGACAGTCTGGAAACCGACTGTAGAAATGTTTCATGAATGTGTCTAATTCAGTTTACTGTCTTCAAAATTTTGTTGGTGTACACAATTAAAACGAAAGTGGAAGTGAAACACTCTGCTGGTTACAAGGACGTGTTGCACATAAAAAATAAGGGAAATATGATGTTTAAACGAGTGAAAATTGTGTTTTCTTTTCCAGGTCTGTGCTGTAGTTTGAATGATCATAAAGGACAAGCTTAATTCTCCTCAGTTAATTGGGAATGTAGTAAGAGACTGGCTAGAAGCTGGAAAGGAGCATGTATTGAACTGTCAAGACAGACCTTGTTTTGACAGGTTTGCATTCAGAATTTTGAGGAAGACTGACTTAAATATGAAATTCTTTGTTGTTTTTTGCACACAGATGAGTATTGGAAAAATGAGCAGTAAACCACTATGGAAAACAACATCTTATGTCTTAGGATCAGCTCAGAGGCTGCCATGTATACCCATGCTGCTTGGGTATTTCAAAGCTCCTTTTGTTTGGCTAGGTAGTGAATTTGACCTCAGCACCTGACTACAGAACAGTCTGTATTGTGTGGAGCTAAAGCATATAAAGAATTTCCCTGAAGTATTCTGCTTAACCCCAGGTTGTTTGATACCTAGTAGAGAGGATAGTTCTGAGTCTTTTCTTAGTGTTAGTATGTGAGCTAGGCGTGAGTTAGAGATGTAGTAAAGGGTGAATTATTACTTGATATGTTCATGCTGGTGTCACGTCCAGGTGCCAACACCAATAATGAAGTTCTCAATGTATTGCAGTGCTAGGGCAAGGTAAATGCTGTTCTTATCCTGTGCATCTTGCCCCAGAGTTTTAAGTAGCCTGTAACATTTGCATGAATAATGAGCCATTGTCTTTGACATGCTCACCTATTTTATGAAGTAGCCTCAACAGATAGTCTTGGATACATTGAAACTTGCTACTTGTTTGGCCTATCTCAAACTGCTGTTAAATGGGGAATACTTCAAATTGCAAGTTGGAGCTAGTGTGTTTGTGAAATAGGCAAAAATCCCTTGATTTTACAAATTGTACTTTTCTGTTAGCAATTTAAATGGATATGAGGTTTAATTGTAATAAAAGTAACTTCAGTGTTTCGTTCCTAACTTAGAAGATTTTAAAGACAATAGGTATACCTGAATATCTGAATATGGGTTAAATACTTCTATCAGAAACGATATTTTATTTTTGTTAAGGTGCCACTATCCAAAGGATGGCTTTCAGGCATCCTCCAGTTCTCTCTTGGTTGCTGTTCCTTTCAGAGGAAATAGGGAAATAATGATTTGCATTTGTCAGGGCAGGCAGAAAGCTTTGTTTTTGCACAGCTGGGTGAAGCATTTGCGGTGGTTACTGGTGGGGTGCAGGGTGCAGAGCACAGGAAAGCAGCCAGACCAGTAGCAGCTGTTGCTTCTCACACTGGAAATATCCAGCAGGGAGCCTGCTTCCTTCTTGGCTTTTCTGAATGGCTGTTGCTCATGCCAAGGCTATTGTTGTTATCCTGGGCTTTGAGAGTGCCGCATCATTTGGGAGCTTGGTGTTTCATGTCATGCAAACTTCAAGATGTGGTTGGAAAAGCATATTTGTGTAGCATCTACTATGCAGTTTCCTGCTTCACCTAGTCATACTATTTTAATTTGTAGTTTAACATTGTTGAGTTTGTAGGGCCCAGAGGTGTTGAAGTGCATACCCATGGTGTTACTGACCGGAATCTTCAGGGATAGGATTCATTTCAGGTCTTTTGAGGTGTCAGCATCTGGGCTCCTTCTAGAATAGACTAAAATTGTTTTGTTGTGAGATTGGAATTGCTGTTTGGACATATGGACCTTGCCACTAAGTCTGCTCACTGTGTCAGATTTCTATTGAGAATGAAGATGACACTTAGTTTAGATGCAGGGGAAAAAATATTGCTTACCTGGCTTTATATGAGAACTGTTCTAAAAGCAGCGCTTTGTTCTGTGTGAATATATATATTTATATGTCAACTTAAATGTTTTTTGAGCCAGGATTTTTGCCATATTTCTTTAATGACTTTAAGTTTTTTGAATGCTACAGAATGAATAATTAATTTGATATTTATGTTTGCAATGCTTACTAAGTGCACTTAAGTTTTGTTTCCTCTGTTATTTAGTTTGAAAATGTTGCAGGATAAGGTTTCAGCCAATCAGTAATACTACCAAGAAGCTATAGTTAATATGTTACTCAGGGAAAGAGAAGTCGTGTTAACTCCTTCTCCCCATCTTTGATAGCCTTGTTAGCAATAATTTATTACTTCCAGGAGGTTTGGGACTTCCTAGTAGATGGTTTATTTACTAGACAAGATCAATGCTTGAATTCACTTCAGCTTTTGAACTGTTTTACGAACTTCATCTGAGTTGCAGTGTAACAGAATTTTTTAGGATGTAACGTTTCCTAAAATATTTGGTAAATTCTTTTTAAAATGTCTTATCTTTTGCATGTGTCTTGCCTTGCCTTCTTCACCCCAACAAATCCTGTAGTATTTTATATGTTCTGATTATGTACCTCAAGCACCCTTAACAGGCCTTCTCAACTCATTTGGTTTACCATTTATGTTTTGTTCCAAGCTAAGAATGGAACAGGAATGCCTTCTTCACCCCAACAAATCCTGTAGTATTTGTTGTAGCACCCCTAATAGGCGTTCTCAGCTCATTTGGTTTACCATTTATGTTTTGCTCCAAGCTAAGAATGGAACAGGAGTACTGAAAACGTAAAGACAGCAATTCTCTAGTGGTAAACTTTTGATGCAGGAATTGTGTAGGTCTTGTAAAATGCTGGGTGCAAGAGTACATAACTGAAAATGCCATGTAGATTCCAGAAAGAATTTCACTGCTTTACTAGATCTTTTCTGGGGGAGCCATATAAGATGCACAGCTGGTTTTAGAACCTTCTGCCTGTGTTCATAAAGAGTGTCAGAAGTAAAGAGTAGACTGCCATCTGCCAGTGTGGTTCTGAAAACTCTTAGCAGGTAAGATTGAAGCAGAGCTATGAAAAAAAGAAAGAACAGCTCCACCTCTGCATTAAATGCATCAGGGAGCTTAAAGTTACACTTTGTTCTTCACAGCAGAGTGTTGTGCTAAATTAGAAATTGTGATAAGCTCGCCCACAATTGTTCAGTATTATGCAGCTGTGATTGGTTTAGTCACAGGCAGAGTGCTGGGCTGCCTACTCTGCCTTTGAAGCTGCCACAGCCCTGGAGTTGCTCTGAGTGGCTTATTAGTGTTCATTTTTTTTTTTGCAGTCAGAAGGATGAGAGTTGTGGGCAATGCCTTTTTTTCTGATGGCATAGACTTGTCTTTGAAGGATATCAGAGAGACAGAGAAAACCCAGAGTCTTCACGAATTTTTGGTAACATAATTTGCACCTTGTTAGGAGGCTACAGTTGTCCTGTGTTGGAGGATCTTATAGAAGTTGTTGGGAATATCTGACAGCATTCTCCTGAGTGGCTGTTCATTTTTTTGGACTAACGTTGGAATCTGCAGGAACTCTTGCCTGTTATCTCTGATTAACGCAAGTTGTAATAGATGAACATTTATTCCTAAGTTCTGCACTGTAATTCTGAGCACAGCAAATGTGTTTCATGTAATTAGGGCTTCTAGAAATCTTCTGGGCAGCTCTTTATATGCAAATCTTTTAATAACTAAATATTTTTAGAAGTAATGATTTTTCTAGTATAGAATTACTTACTGTGTAATGTAATTTTAAAAATATATGTCTTTGTTTTTGTTTGGGATAAGCTCTGGCTTTGGACACCTGTCTAACATTACCTTCACTTTTGGGCTTTTCCCCAGTTGAATGTCCAATGGAACTTGCCAAGCAATGAGTTAAAATTTTTTCTGTGTGGATTTTCCTTTTATATGTTTGTAAAGTAGTTTGGTTCAGATAGAGGAGAAATGATGTGAGGGTGAGTACTTCAGAAATCTGTTTGTAATAAATATGATGCACAGCCATTTAGATTAGTTAAGGCTGTGTTACTGTCCGAATTTATTTTAACTTTTTTGTGATTTTTGCCCAATTATTGAATGCCTGTATCACTGAATATATGCAAAATGACTGTTCTATGCAGTGTGACAGTGTTAATATCCCTGAACTGGGACTTTGCTTGTGTATAGTGATGCTAGTAAATAACTGAATGTTCCATGGATATGAAATATTCCATAATTAAAAGTAGCATAGTCAGCTTTCAGCAAAAAGTATGTCCAAGTTTTAACTCTTCCATTCTGTCCATGCACCTGCTTGCTGCAGTTGTGATGTCCCAACCAGCTGTCACTGTTCCCAACCAGATTGTAGAAAGAAGAGAGTAACTAAGGAGAGGTTGCCAGCCTGGCCTAATGAATGTTCAACAGGAGACAGAGACTGACTGGACACGGGTAGAGAAACTAAGTAAAAGTTGCCAGTGGAATAAGGTGTGGATTGGGAAGAGCTTTGTCACGGGAGCAAAGTTTGTCCATGCTGTTCCATTGTAAAAAAATTTTGAGTTATTTTTGCATTTGTTTAGGAAAAAAACCCTGGCCATTAATGGCCTACTATCCTAAAGACATACAGGTGACAGACTTGTTTTGTGTAGGGTTAAAGGGTTGCATACACAGTTCCCAGCAGTAAACAAGTCAGGCAGCTGTGAAATGTTGCTTTGGACAATTCCTTGTCTCCCATTCTTTTGGTGTATTTGTTAATGTAAGTAAATGATACGTTTTAGCTGTATAAATTTTATAACTGTAGAATAAACAACTATAAAGCAAAACAGAAATGCTAAATTAAGAAACATCTTTAGTTATGTTGTTTATTTTTATAGGAGAAACATGGTGATTTTGAAATTTTCCACTCTGAGAGTGCCTCACAGGTTACATTGTGTATTTTTTAGTCCACTCATAGCATATTCTTGCATACTTTTGTTACATGCCTAGAAGTTCTTAGCTAATTCACTGACAAAGCACCTTTGTGTTTAGAGTAGGTTTGCTTTTTTAAAAAACTTGGTTTAGCAGAATTTGTTTTAGTGTACGCATGAGAACAGATTGTCCAAAAAGCAGTAGTACTGAAAAAATGCTGCAACAAACCCTAAAGGTTTTTCACTTTGTTGTACATAATTTGGCCTTAGAATTATTTTTCTTCCAAAGACTTGGATAACAGACAAGGAGGATGCATAGATCATATGCATGATGATGCATATGATCTATGCATCATCATGCATATGATCTATGCATCTCTAACCCATTTTAAAGAATGTAATTAATGGAATCAAATTTTGGATATAACTGTAGATTGTCACAGACTATCAAAATACTGTATTCAGAACAGAGTGGTCTTGGGCATTATTTTTACTGCTTTCATAAAAGAATTATCTTACTTGCATTTCTGCCGAGCACCTATCACTGTCATCTGTTATTCAGAAGCATATTGCTAAAATTTCACTTCCTGATGGGACAGAGGATTCAATTCCTGTGGGATACTCTAAACTCTAACTAAAACATTGCTGTCTGCTTTTGTAAGCAAAAAACCATGTTTATTATCCATGCTGGTGTAATGTAGAAATCCACAGAGGCTCTTTAGGGAGTTGTATTTTTTCCAGACTGGTCTGTCAGACAAAAACTGATGCTATTCACAAATGGGATGTTAGGCATGTTAGTGTGTGCTTTCCCTCCTGCACTGGTCCATAAGTAACTGGTTAAAATCTTGTTTAACAGCCTAATCATTACCTTACAAATTCAGAAAATAAATAGCTTATCTAATATCTTGAAATAACCATCTGCCTGGGGCTTGAGAAAGGATATTGCAAGAAGTCTAGTGCACAGCAATTTAATATAATTCTTCCTAACAAAAACCAATTACTAAATGCCTTGTGTCCTGAACTGTGAAGATGTGTTCCAGACTGCTTGATTTTTATCTTACTCAGTATAAACATGGCTTTATGCTCCATCATGTAGATCTCATTTGGAAAAAAATTGGTGTCTTGGACATAATGATCAATAGAACTCACTTATAATTGTAACTGTTTATTAAGGCATTTATGTAAAGACAGTTTACATCTAGTTTGTATCTTTTTTTAGCTAGTAGCTTTTCAAAATACTGTCAGTTGGAGAGTAACTTTTATTTTCTGTATGCTTTTGGTTTGTTTCATTTCACTTTTATATCCTTTGTATGCTTTTGGTTTGTTTTTCTTCACTTTGTTTTCTATCCCGTGCTTTTTTTTGCTTATGAAGACTTCCTCTTTCTTTCTTTAAAATTATGCTGATTCTGTTTAGGGATGAGCAGAGCAGTATGCAGTACTCAAGCAAGGAAGGTGTAATTACCTCTGCTTTTCTCTGTTTAGCAACTTTTAATAGCTGCTTATTAAGCAAACAGTTTAATGGAGTTAAGACCAATTAGCAATCTTTCTGGTAAGAAGTTCTCAAAAACATTCCAGTATGTTTAATTACCTCAGGTGACTTAGTGTGCCAGTCAGCAATGGTCAGCTGTTCTGTCTCTTCCCCTCCACATCTCCCTCTGCAGCTCAGACTTGATTTGCTCTGCAAATTGTCATAGATGTTGTTTTCTGCTGACGTGTTTTCCTTTGCCAACAGCAAAATTCAGTAGGAAGGAAGAAGATTGTTATGCTCCGTGTCATTTCTTCAACTGAACTTGTAGCTCTCCAGCAGGAAAAAAGGAAGTCAGTGTTTGTTTCAGGCATAAACTGGTTGTGAGCCTCTGAGAACAAAAGAAGTGCTTCATACATTGTGTTCAATATTTCTCTGATGCATTTGTATCCTGTCTCTGAAGATTGTCTTTTTTCGGTTTTACACATTGTACTGTCTCTTCTATTGAGTACAAAAGCTTATGAAAAGGATTTTGTATGATCTGCTGGCTGTTGAATTTGTCTACAGATAAAATACTAACTTACCTTCAAAGAACAAAGTCAACATTTTTCAGACAGAATTGAATGCAGCTGTTTTACTGCTAGAACATATTTATGCAATATTTATTATATTGATGATGGAGGAGAAAGCCCAATGCTCTCTGGTAGGCTGAGTTAAAAAAGGCCCCTTACAGGGAGGGGTAATTTTCCCATATTTGGTAAACATGTGATGTTAAATAGCAAACAATTGGAGGACATTTTGTCAGGAATCTGTTGGCTCTGTGTGACCAAGCATTCCTGTGGATCCAAACAAGGCAAAATCTTCCTGATTTTTGCTAAAACATTCCACATATCAAATGATAAATGATATCACATTTTTTGGGGGGTAACTCCTATTAAGAAGAAACATTTATTACATATTATGCATATTTATGCACAAACCTTCTTTGGTAATGTTGCTTAGATTCTAGTGAGTTACTGTATCTCCAGTTGAATACGTAATTATGGAGATATTATTTCCCTTTATTTTCAGCACATTTCTTGTCTCTCCCTTGTCCCCTAACAGAAGAGAAAGTATCTACCTGGCTGTGAACTGAGCATACAAAACCACAGGCTGGTGATTATGTTCACTTTGCAAGTCCTGCTTGAGGCATGTGCAAGCTGAGTTAAATATTTGCACCTATACAGAAAAACTCAAAACTGACTTATGAAATCATCTTTCTGTTATCTTCCTAATTAGTTAATGAGGCACCAAATGCTGCAGCTTCAGCTTGTGCTGCAGTTTGTTCTGCTGCTTTGTGCTCCTGCAAGGGACCCGGGGGTGGCTGGGCAGGGGAGCTCCGATCGGAGCCAGGATGATGCTCCTGAGTAGAGAGAGGATTTCAAGTCAGTTTGGAGTCTCAGAGGTGCCAGGAAGACACAATGCAGCAGACATGGCTGTATGATTGACCTGGTTTCCTTGTTTCTGCTTGAAGCCTCTCTGAGGTGTGGCTTCTATCAGCCACATCTTCATGTGGGTGTGTAATTTGCTACACTGCAGAAACAGATTAATCAGACTCGCAGTGTGCAGGCAGAGCAGCATGCAGGTGGCACTCTTAGGTTTGGATCAGGATAATAGGGATCATTGAACAAATTCTAACTGGCATTTTTGAAGGACAAATGTTACATGAAACTGTTGCCCAAGTTTGTTCTAAGTTGCCATCTGGCTTATTTTCAACAAGGTAGAAAACAGCTCTCAAAAACTCTTCCTCCCTTCTGTGTTTTACTGGGCTACTGCAGGTGTTTTGCATATGTAGGTCAATGGGCCTGTGCTCAGGTATTGTTATATGAACTTGGCATGTATTGATGTGGTTTACTATGTAGCAATACATATGGAAATAAAAATAAAATATTGTGAGAACGTGTAAATCCTCAGATCCCATTTGTGTCAAGATGTGTGTATGAAAAATGGGGCTAAAATTCTACTTGTCTTCATTTTAATTTTCTGTAGTTGCTTGTGTTTTGTTTCCTCAAATTGTTT